CGTGCGCTGCTTGCTTAGTTTGTAGATTGGTAGCGGAGCTTCGGCTCCTAGGTCCAGTCCGCTTTTTCGGTTTTGCGATGTCGCAGCCTCTTGGGGAGAGTTTCTATAACCTTGGCGCCTCCCTTAGACCTCCTGAACCCGATCCTCCGCAAGTTCACAGTGATGGCGTGCATAACGAACCTCGGAAAGCCGCTGATCAGCGTCTTCCTTGTAATGATCAAGATAGTGTTGCTGCACCCCGCTGGGATCAGGGCCCAGGAACTGGGAGCGGTGATCACCGAGGACAGCATGATCCTTGGTGTTGGAGTAGAAGGCAGCAGAGCTGGTGGGACTACTCCTGGGGAGATGGTAGTCGTTGGGGTTCCGGTTGGGAGCCTCCTTGTCATGACTACGCACGAAGATGGAGCCAAGACGAGACTTGGGGCACCGGATCCACCGAGTCCGGTTCTGCGACTGGCGGCCAGGGGAATGGCTGCTACAAAGGAGTTCGCCGTCAAGGCGATGACAACTCAGAGCCTACGCCTACTAAAGAGGATGGAGATCCCCGGCAGGGCTTTGGTGGAGGCCGGCTTCCCGATGGCTGGAGACCCACCGGACTCCCAGCCGACCTTCGCGCACCTCGACACGGCGAGTCCCTCGGAGGTCGGGGTCCCTCTGAGAAGATGGTGGTACCGACTTTCTCAGGAACTATGGACGCAGGAGACGAAAATCTTGGCCAGACGGCGCGATCCTATCTCCGGCAGATAGCAGCCTGGCGCCGCATGACGCGGATGGCGCCTGAGACTCAAGGGCTCACCCTCTACCAGCACCTCACCGGGAAGGCATGGGTCGAGGCCGAACGTCTGAGCGTCGACCGCTTGGCCGAGACTTCGGGAGTGGACTACTTGGTCTCCTGGGTCAAGGACCGTTATCTGGACGTGGAGATAACACAGGTTGGTCGCTGTCTTTCAGACTTCTTCCGGAAGCTTCGGAGGAAACCCGGACAATCTGTCCGAGACTATCTCTCCGACTTTGATCGCTGTCTGGCCAGGCTGAACGAGGTTGGTTGTGTTTTGCCAGACCTAGCTGCGGCATGGGTCCTGGTAGACCGCATGGCCCTCGAAGAGGGCGCGGAGCTCAATTTACTGGCCTCAGTCGGTAATGTGTACAACCTGAAGCTCCTCAAGCAGGCCTCGATTGTGCAAGACAGGTCCCTCAGGAAACCATGGGAGACGACCGCCACCAACCGGCCATGGAACAAGCGACAGCAGTCGGCAATGATGGCCGACGCAACCGGGGAGAATGACGACCACGAGGACTTCCAGGACGTGGCCATCGACGAGGACTGCGAGGCGGTACCGGAATCGGTGGCAGCGGAACTCTACGAGGCGTACGTTACCCACGAGACGGCTCGACAGAAGTATCGTGATACTCTCAAGATGCGGGGAACGGACCCGGATGGAATGAGGGAAGCTATGCACCAGAAGCTCCAGGCGGCGAAGCAGCGTTCTTTTTGCTCGGCATGCAAGCGCAGGGGCCATTGGCATCGTGACCCTCAGTGCCCCCTTAACCAAGGCAAAGGCGGCAACGGAAGCGGCGGGTCATCCTCGGCTGCTACGAGCGGGACTTCCTCTACGACATCCTCGTTGGAAAAGAACCCCAAGGTGAACTTCCCGTGCCACGTGGTGCATGTGACCTGGGATCTTGCGCAGCCCGCCGAGGCCTCCAATCTCCTCGGCATCACAGACACTGCCTGCAGCAAAAGCGTGGCCGGGATGCCATGGGTCGAGACTTACTTGAATGAGGCGAAGAAAGTTGGCTTCCGCCCTCCCTTCCTTGAGGCCCGCGAGTCGTTCAAGTTTGGGGCCTCTCGGATCTTCGAGGCCCTCTACAGCATCATCTTGACCTTTGAGGTTGGAGGACATCCGGTCGTCGTGCGGGTTTCGGTTGTTAATGGAGATGTACCCTTACTTCTCTCCCGTCCCGTCCTTGGCAAGCTCGGCATGATCATGGATGTACAGCGCAACAAGGCCGACTTCCGGGAGCTCCAGGTCCACGACCTGCAGCTGGTCATCACCGATACGGGGCATCCTGCTGTGCCTATTCGACCGATCTATGTAGAGCCCGCCCTCGCCCAAGGCGGTGACTGGGAAGGACCGGAGGTCAAGATTCTCTCAGAGCGTGCGCAATATACTGTGTTTGCCTTAGAGACTGTGTGCAGCCCTGAACCTACCCGAAGTGAGCACTCCCCGAAGCCTCCAGGGACTTTGAGTCCAAGGACCTCACAAGAAGCACCCGAAGATCCCAACATGCGCGCCTATGTCTCTCCCAAGGTCAACATCGAACGCCCGATCTTCTATCCTAAGAAACTTGGGGTCGCTATCAAAGGGATGTTGACAGCCGACAGATTGAACCCTACATCGTTCATGGCCTGGTGGAGTAGTACATCGACTAGCAACGACTTTTGGATTGAAGGCGAGCAGGTGTTGATTAGGGTCCACGTGATTCCTAGGAAAACACTCTTCAACCCTGTGAAGTGGAACACTACCTCCTCCGACCACAAAGAAGCCCTACTACATGTCCTTGGAAGCCTCCGGAGTACCGAAGCAGTGTCCTGTAAGACGCATCGAGAGTACCATCCTGTACATGGAGGTTGGCGTGAGCTTGATGATGACGCTTCTTTGCCGATGCTTTGGGTTGGAAGATCAGTCTTTAGCCGTGCTCGAATGTCGAGCCCTAGAGATCACACCAAATTCGAGAGCAACCATGGCGTCCTCGCGCTCGACCCCTTTGTTGACCGCGCCCACCGTCACGAGGAAGAAGACGCTATGGGAGCTCACCAAGGAGGAGCTCATCGCGGAGGCCCAGGCGAGAGGGCTCCAGTTCCATCCCAAGTGGACCCTGGGAGAGATTCGACAAGTCATTCAGGAGGACCGAGAGGCAAAGACCGGGAGCACTTCCACGGGAGCGCCCCCGCCGGCACTATCCAAGATGACGTTGGCCCAGCTCAAGGATGCAGTCCAGGAAGCCGGGTTGGCGGCACCCGAGCGCCCGAACAAGGCGTCCCTGATGAGAGTCCTACGGGACAACGGGGGACTCGGAGCGCAGACGATACTGAGCTTCGGACGGTTCCGCGGATACATGTATCAAGAAACACCGCCCAGCTACAGGATTTGGGCAATGAACGAGACCGAGGCCAATGCGGGGGCGCAAGAGGACCTGAAGATGTACGCGACGTGGTGCCGCCAGGATCAGGCAGCTCAGTCCCCTCCTCCGACAAGGCCCTCCCTCTCGGGCTATGTGGACGCAGAGGACACGGCGACGGTGCCCTACACCCCGGACCCCTTCGAGACGTGGGACATCGTTGGAAGTCAACCCCGAGCGACGGGAACCAGGCCCAAAGCAACGCTCCCGTTTCCGCCCAGGACCCGGAGGGCAGCACCGTCGAGCGCATCATCGGTGGCTGGGATGGACCAGGATCCCGACCCGGGCGTGACCGAGGAGATCCAGCAGCTGGAACAACGCCTGGCTTTGCTCCGAGACCGCAACGGACTACCGCCGAGGACGCTATGAAGGAAGACACCGACAACGCCAAGCCCGACCAGGACGAGATCTTCCACGAGTGCGAGGAGGAGGCTTCTGTGACGAAGGGGGATATCTCCGAGGACGCCAACACCAAGGAACAGAACCCCGCGAAGTATACGCAGGATCCCAGCTTCGGCAACTTCTACAAGGAGATCCCCAAGGAACAGAACCCCGCGAAGTACACGCAGGATCCCAACTTCGGCGACTTCTACAAGGAGATCCCCTATGGCCAGAACCACGAGTTCAAGGAATACGAGAAGGGACTCGACTACAGCACTGGAGCCAGGGAACAGAACCCGGCGAAGTACAGGCAGGATCCTCGTGGCCATGGCGTTCAGTCTAGGGAACAGAACCCAGCGAAGTACAGGCAGGATCCCCGTGGTCATGGTGTCCAGACTAGATCACAGGACGACTCAGGACGTGTTCTCGGTGACCTTGATCTCTGCGGAATAGAGGACGAGTACGAGGCCGCATGCATTGGCGCAGACATCTCCGCGGGAGACGGCGACAAGGCAGTCCATGAGTCCATGTCCACCTACGTGTACGGAGCCGAAGGGAGAAACGATGGCAAGGCATGTGAGAACCTTGCCAAGGAGTTCTTCAAGGACAAGCGCTTCAACTACAAGGACCTCACGCAGATCCTGGAGGTCCTTCCCATGAAATCTACGAGACGACATCGAGGAGCGTGCGGGTACGACACCGAAGAGGTGAAGTCCTTTCTCGGAGGAATGTGGACCCATGGCGGATTTTGGGGCGAATCTCTACAGACGAAGGCTTTCCCTTGGACGGTCAAGTACATCAACAAGGCTATGCGCGAGCTCTCCGGCGACGCTTGGGGCAAAACCCCACCTATGTGGACCTCTCTCATCATCACCAAGAATGTGAAGATGCGAGTTCACAAGGATGCACACAACATTCCCGGCAGCAGCGTGCTGACTCTCACCCTCGGCAACTTCTCAGGAGGGAACTTATGGCTGGAGAGTTCACCAGGAGACGGCAATGGGGAGACCGCGATCTACGACGACCACGGCCAGGAAATCGCTGGGATTTCTATTTCCACCAAGGAGCGGCCTTACGTTTTCGATCCGAAGAAGAAGCACGCCACCGAGCAATGGGAAGGAGATCGTTGGTGCATTTCTTGCTTTGCTACAAGAGGTGCCAGTAGAGCGAGCCAGGACGAACGTGATTCACTACGAGCCTTATGTTTCCCACTACGTGGCCTTGATTCACTCCTCACCACAAAGCCCGACGACTACGTCAAGGCCGAGCGCCCAGCAAAGAGTACGAGAAAAGGAATGTGGAAGGCCGCCAAGCGTCTGGTGGCTCTCACATCGGTGTGTACGGCAGCTGCTACGACCTACACCACGGAGATCCTCCCAGCCCCGCGGGGAAAGGACGCAGTTGCCCTCTTTGAAATTGGCGGATGGACAAAAACTCTTGAAGCCGGCGAGTACGACTTCATGACTGCGGAACCCATCTTACCCGAGGACCTCTACAAGGACAACTTCGTGGACAAGCTCAACGAGACGCTCAAGGTCTTCTCCCCGGCGACCATGTGGATCCACGGCGGGATCGTCGCCGGAAGGCTCAGCGACATCGAGAAGGCCGCCAGTTGGCAGCTGAAGCAAGGACGAGCTGTTGTGTTGGAGGCCCCAGCCGAGGCAGCCATGTGGAGCGGACCAGAGGTGGAACGTCTTTGTGAGGAGGGCAGCCTACTCAAGGAGGAACGACGCGGAGGACGAAGAGAGCTGAGGATTAATGTTCCGCAATCCCCTCAGCCCTTTAGCAAGGACGAGGATGTCGAGCCTGTTGCGGCTTACTTTTCTTCTACTGTCGACGCCCGCACTGAGGACGCCCTTCACGAGGCCTACGCCGTGTCCCGGATCCCCGAAGGCGCTACGGAGGACAGAGACCAGGCTCAACGCGGAGCCAGCGCAATCTCTTTCGAGAATGGGAAGGAGATCCCTCCGGAGGTCAGGTCCTCCCTTAAAAGGCTTCACCAGAATCTGGCACACCCCAGTCGCGAGGACCTGTGCAGGCACTTGAGGTTGGCAGGTAGCAGCCCCGAGATCCTCGATGCAGCCAAACGTCTTCGGTGCCAAGTTTGCGATCGCCATCACCGAGGCAAGTCTGCTAAGCCGAGCTCTTTGCCATCCCTCCTGGAGTTCAATCAACTTGTTGCAGTAGATGCCTTTTCGGTCTACGACTCTCAACACAAGAGGGTCGAGTTCCTGATGATCATCGACCTGGGCACTGGATTTTGTGTGGCTAGGGAGCTCGAAGGACACTCCGGGCAGGCTCTCGAGAAGGTGTTCTGCGAGGCATGGGCGACCACTTTCGGTCCGCCCGGGACTCTAATCCTCGACCTGGAAACAGGGCTTCAGGCCGGATTGGCAAGATTCAGTGAATGGCACGGCACCTGGATCCGCCCCATTGCAGCACAGGCGCATTACCAGCAGGGAACTGTGGAACGGTGTATTCGATCCTGGAAGCAGCTCTGGGAGAAAGTGTGTGATGAGAAAACGATCACCCACGAGGAGGGAGCAATGGCCGCCACCGTCATCAATTCGGCTATGAACTCTTTGAGAAGAAGTTCCGGAACAAGCCCGGCACAGGCCGTGTGGGGCCGAGAACCTCGTCTTCCTGAAGATCTTTCCCAACCGGCCGAGGCAGACCACTTCGAAAGTGTTCTTTCCCGAGACCGACTTCGAGCACGAGAGTTTGCGCTTCGCAACGCTGCCCGCACCGCCTACTACAAGTGCCAGAGCGACTCCACCCTTCGTCGAGCTCTCAACCATAGATCTCGTGTGGCGGGCCCCGAACTCACCACGGGGGATCATGTGTTCATCTACAGGAAGCCGAAGTCTCAGAAGCACTGGGAATGGTTTGGACCTGGAGTTCTCATTGGACGGGAAGGCCCGAACTGGTGGGTTTCATATTCAGGTCGATGCCATCTCACCGCCCCTGAACATCTTCGTCTGGCGAGTGGAGAGGAGATCGGAGCTGCTTTCACGCTCCGAGCCTCGCAGGACGACCTCGAAAAGCTTCTTGAGGCTGACTTTGGAACCGAGGACATCTATGTTGATGATCTCCAGGAGGCCCAGATGATCGAGGACGATGATGAGGTGATGATCGACCAACACGAAGACGGCGGACAAGTTCTCGGAGCACCCGTACAAGGCGATCACAAACGAGACGCGGGAGATCCACGCGTTCCCTTGGTCACAAAAAGGGCACGAAGGAAGGGGCCCGGAGAAGGTCCACCACCAGGCCCGTCCGACCATCCGCCTGGTCATTCGGCTCACATGGCAAAGTTTGCCAAGACCGCGAGGGGGCGCGAGAAGGCTCTCGAGAAGGAGATCCCCTGGAGTCTGATACCCGGAGAGGCCCAGTCGCTCTTCAAGGAAGCCGAAGACAAACAATATCAAGAACACCGCCAACACGGCGCCCTCGAGCCCATGTCGTTGGAAGAGAGTCGCGAAGTGACCAGGACAAGGGGAGACAGGGTGCTCCCGAGCAGGTTCGCTTACCGCGATAAGAATTGGAGCAAACGGAGAGGGGACCCCTCGGTCCCTTGGAAGGCCAAGTCCCGCCTAGTTATTGGCGGGCACCGGGACCCGGACTTGCTCAAAGGGTTGAACACCCATGCCCCGACTATATCCAGGCAAGGGATTCTCCTCTTGCTCCAGGTGCTCGCGAGCAACCTCGACCATGGATGGACCGGACACGCAGGCGACGTGACAGCTGCATTTTTATCCGGGGAAACCCTCACCCGGGAGCTTTTCCTCAAGCAGCCGAGGACCGGATTAGGAGGGTTGCACCCAGAGCAACTGTTGCGGATACGAAAGCCGATCTTCGGCTTAGTGGATTCGCCGGCAGCATGGTGGCAGAAGCTCAGCAGCACTCTGAAGGAGACCGTGATCACCGATGACAAGAACATTAAATGGGCTATCCGGCAGTGCGAGTTGGACAACTGTATCTTCACCGTACAGGAGATCCTGACTGATGAGAACGGGAAGGTTACCTACGGTAAGCCCCAGGCCTACCTCGGAGTGCACGTCGATGACATCCTTCTCGTGGGGAAGAACGATCTCTGCGAATGCGTGAAGGCTGAGTTGAGCCGACAGTTTCCTATCGACGAGTGGGAGACAGGTTCTTTCGACTACGTCGGCTCCTACATCGACATCCAGCCCGACCGGATCAAGGTGAGTCAGGAGTCCTACGTCAACACGCGCCTGTTCACGATCGACATCGAGAGAGGCGCTAAAGACTGGGAGCCTGCATCCGAGACCCAACGCTTGGACAACATGTCGCTGATCGGGGCCCTATCGTGGCTTGCATCACAAACTCGTCCCGACTTGCAAGTCGGAGTTTCCATGAGTCAGCAATGTCAACGGGAACCTTGCATCGGCGACCTCCGCTTCACCAACCTCTTGGCGCAAAGGGCACTCGAGCACCAGCAGGAAGGCGTCTACATCTATCCCGTCGACTTCACCGACAGCATCCTCCTGTGCTACCACGACGCTGGATGGGCAAACTGCCCGCAGGACCAGGAGGACCCCTACTACGCGCTCACAGTGGACGAGGAGAAGAACGGAGTTATCCACGGAGCTCCCTACGGACTCCTCGGACGCAAGGCCAAGAAGGCCAACTCTTCAATAGCATCGCAGCTTGGGTGCCTGTTTGTCTTTGGGAACAGATCGATCCTCAGAGGAGATCGGACCAAGATGAGTGTGCTGGATTGGAAGAGTGGAGCCTGCGAACGAGTATGTCGATCAACGTTCCAAGCGGAGACCATGGCCTGCGCCTACGGCATCGAGACCTCCGAGTACATCCTGAAGTTCCTCCAGACCCTCCTAGACGGAGAATTGGTGAGAGGGGCTACTTCTTTCAGTGCACGGTTCGTGAGCGACTGCAAGAGTCTCTACGACCATTTGATGCGAGAAGGGATCCCGAGGGTCCCAACCTGCAAAAGGCTTGCCATTGACTTGGCTTCGATAAGGTGCGATTTACGCCTCTTCGGTAAGATAGCATGGACACCGACCGAAGCACAGCTTGCCGATCTACTCACCAAGCCTCTCAAGGCTGTACAGTGGTGGAAAGAGATCAAACTTGGCATAAAGTTGACTTTCAGAGAGCAGGAGAAGATTTTGAACCAGTGTAAATCGAGGATTGAGTCTTGAGGGCTCTCTTCTTTCCCCTGCCCTGTCTGTCATCTTTCGAAGCCGAATTCTCTAACCGACGATCTTTCAGGCACAAGAGTTTGTCATCAGCTGGCAAAACGTTGTGGGCGCCGTGCGCCGCGAGGCAGTCCGTGCGCTGCTTGCTTAGTTTGTAGAGTTAGGGTTCAGGGGTTAGGGGTACTGCGGAATACACCCGACTTCGAAGATGTACTCGTAATCAATCTTGAATTTGAATCCAGATTTCAATCACCAACTCCCGAAATCCAAC